CACATGCCTGTGGTCCCAGCTATGTTGGAAGCTGAGGTGAGAGGACTGCTTGAGCGTGGGAGTTTGAGGCTGCAGTGAGCCATGATCATGCCACTGTACTTCAGCCTGAGCGGCAGAGCTAGACTATCTCAAAGCAAGCAAACAAACAAAAACAGATAACACAGATACTGAGACCCAAAAGCAGCAGAGTGATAGGGAGATAAAGAACATGGTCTCTAGCCACCTCTAGCCTAAGTTTGGGAATGAAAGCAACTTGAAGCTTCCTTTTTTTTTTTTTTTTTTTTTTGAGATGGAGTCTCACTCTGTTGCACACGCTGGAGTGCAATGGCGCAATCTCGGCTCACTGCAACCTCCACCTCCAGGGTTCAAGCGATTCTCCTGCTTCAGCCTCCCGAGTAGATGGGACTACAGGTGCATGCCACCACGCCCGGCTATTTTTTTATTTTTCGGTAGAAACAGGGTTTCTCCGTGTTAGCTAGGATGGTCTTGATCTCCTGACCTCATGATCTGCCTGCCTCAGCCTCCCAAAGTGCTGGGATTACAGGCATGATCCACTGTGCCCAACCTGAAGCTTATTTTAAAAAGACAGGGTCTTGGCCGGGCATGATGGCTCACACCTATAATCCCAGCACTTCGGAAGGCCGATGTGGGTGGATTACGAGGTCAGTAGATTGAGACCATCCTGGCCAACATGTTGAAACCCCGTCTCCACTAAAAATACAAAAAAATTATCTGGGCGTGGTGGCACAAGCCTGTAGTCCCAGCTACTGGGGAGGCTGTGGCAGGTGAATTGCTTGAACCCAGGAGGTGGAGACTTTAGCGAGCTGAGATCACACCACTGCACTACAGCCTGGGTGATGGTGCAAGACTCGTCTCAAAACAACAACATCAACAACAACAACAACAACAACAACAACAAAACAGATAGGGTCTTGCTCTATTGCACTGTCTGAAGTGCAGTGGCACAATCATGGCTCACTGCAACCTTGAAGTCCTGGGCTCAAGTGATCCTCCCACTCCAGCCTCCGGAGTAAGCGTTCTATTACCTTTTTTTTTTTTTTTTTTTTTGAGGTGGAGTTTCGCTTTTGCTGCCCAGGCTAGAGTGCAATGGCTCGATCTGGGCTTACCGCAACCTCTGCCTTCCAGGTTCAAGTGATTCTGTTGTCTCAGCCTTCCAAATAGCTGAGATTACAGGCATGTACCACCACATGGAGACGGGGTTTCTCCATGTTGGTCAGGTTGGTCTTGGACTCCCGACCTCAGGTGATCTGCTCATCTCTGCCTCCCAAAGTGTTGGGATTACAGGCGTGAGCCACCACACCCAGTGGTGGCTTCAAATCTTCCTATTCCTAACAGATTTGAAAATGTCCAATTTGTCAATTTATGTTCTCACAAAAAATGTTAAAAGTTTTCCACATTTAAAAAATAGAGATGGGGCCGGGTGCAGTGGCTCACGCCTCTAATCCCAGCACTTTGGGAGGCTGAGGCGGGTGGATCACCTGAGGTCAGGAGTTCGAGACCACCCTGGCCAATATGTTGAAACCCTATCTCTACTAAAAATACAAAAATTAGCCAGGCATGGTTGCTTGCACCTGTAGTCCCAGCTACTTGGGAGGCTGAAGCAGAATTGCTTGAACCCAGGAGGTTGCAGTGAGCCAAGATCTGAGCTACTGCCCCTGCAACTCCAGCCTGGGTGACAAAAGCGAGACTGTCTTAAAAAAAAAAAAAAAAGACATGGGGTCTCACACTGTCTCCCAGGCTGGAGTGCAGTGGGTTGATCTCGGCCCACTGTAACCTTAACCTCCCAGGCTCAATCAATCCTCCCGCCTCAGCCTCCTGAGTGGCTGGGACTAAAGAAGGTACATGCCACCATGCCTGGCTAATATATATTTTTTGAGATGGAGTTTTGCTCTTGTTGCCCAGGCTGGAGTGCAATGGCGTGATCTTGGCTCACTGCAACCTCTACCTTCTGGGTTCAAGCGAGTCTCCTGCTTCAGCTTCCGGAGTAGCTGGGATTACAGACATGGGCCACCACGCCCGGCTGATTTTGTATTTTTAGCAGAGAGGGGGTTTCTCCATGTTAATCAGGCTGGTCTCGAACTCCTGACCTCAGGTGATCCGCCTGCCTCAGCCTCCCAGTGTTGGGATTACAGGAGTGAGCCACTGTGCCCAGCCACATTTGTATTTTTAACAGGGACAGGGTTTTCACCATGTTGGTCAGGCTGGTCTTGAACTCCTGGACTCAAGCCATCTGCCCACCTCGGCCTTACAAAGTGCTAGGATTACAGGCATGAGCCATCCAATATTTCCACATTTAAGTTCTTTTGAGACGGTGTCTTTCGCTCCATCACCCAGGCTGGAGTGCAGCACCACCATCTCAGCTTACTGCAACCTCTGCCTCCCGGGTTCAAGTGATTCTCTTGCCTCAGCCTCCTGAGTAGCTGGGATTACAGGCACCTGCCACCACGCCAGGCTAATTTTTGCATTTTTAGTAGAATCAGGTTTTCACCGTGTTGGCCAGGCTGATTTCAAACTCCAGACCTCAAGTGACCCTCCCACCTCAGCCTCCCAAAGTGCAGGGATTATAGGCATGAGCCACCATGCCTGGCAGTTTCCACAATTCAAGTTGCGAAGGGCAGGGGCTTGATCTAGCTGTTCATTAATTTTATTCGTTCACCTAAGGGATGTCAGAATCTCCCACTCTAATGAGAATCACCAGCGAGGAAGACCATCCTACACATACACACGTTTGGTGTACTGACCACAACAAGGTGGAAGTTTTGGAAATAGAGCAATCTGGGGTTATATGATCCACTGGCTGCAGGAATTTGGGACAGGATTTTCTCTTGAGCCTATTTCTTCATTTAGGAAACATGGAATTTACTTTTCACAATCCTGTATAATAATGTAGCAAAGTACGTGGAATGAAACAATGTTTCTCTCCAATAGGAATGCTTTTAGAAAACTATCCTCAGTTGTCCTTTCCCTCCAAGGAAAATGTGACTGTCCAAAATGAAAACCTCTAGCAAATGCCAAGTCAAATTAAGACCCGACATTCCTTTCCCCAAGTAGCACAAGGCTGATGGAACTTAGTCCCACAGTTATTTCAAAACAACATGGGTGTTAAGAGGCAAAATTTTCCCAAGAATTCTACCCCAGCCGGGCGCGGTGGCTCAAGCCTTTAATCCCAGCACTTTGGGAGGCTGAGGTGGGTGGATCACGAGGTCAAGAGATCGAGACCATCCTGGTCAACATGGTGAAACCCCGTCTCTACTAAAAATACAAAAAATTAGCTGGGCATGGTGGCACATGCCTGTAATCCCAGCTACTCAGGAGGCTGAGGCAGGAGAATTGCCTGAGCCCAGGAGGCGGAGGTTGCGGTGAGCCGAGATCGCGCCATTGCACTCCAGCCGCCTGGGTAACAAGAGTGAAACTCTGTCTCAAAAAAAAAAAAAAAAAAAAAAAAAAAGAATTCTACCCCTACTTTAGCTAGGTTCAAAACTGAGGCTGGATCAAGTTTCCTTGAAAACAGCATTGGAAAATTTAAGTGGCCAGGTAGTGGGTCATGCCTGTAATCCAGCACTTTGGGAAGCCAAAGTGGGCAGATCAGTTGAGGTCGAGTTTTGAGACCAGCCTGGCTAACATGGTGAAATCCGGTCTCTACTAAAAATACAATTAGTCGCATGCACCTGTAGTCCCATCTATGTGGGAGGCAAGGCAAGAGGTTGCAGTGAGCAGAGCACCACCGCACTCGTCTGGGTGACAGGGAGACTTCCTCTCAAACCCAACCAAACACACATACACACAAAACCTAAGCATTTGCTAGAGGGTGTAATTATTGCTTCCCAAATAGCTCATACCTTTTTTTTTGGAGATGGAGTCTTGCTTTTGTCACCCAGGCTGGAGTGCAGTGGCACAATCTTGGCTCACTGCAACTTCTGCCTCCCAGGTTGAAGCAATTCTGCCTTAGCTCCTGAGTAACTGGGATTATAGGCATCCACCACCACGCCTGGCTAATTTTTTTGTATTTTAGTAGAGATGCAGTTATTAACTTTTCCCAATAGTAAAAAGTTTAACAAAAAAACAAGTAAGAGATGTGGTTTCAGTGGTACCTGGGATGGTGTTGAACTCCTGACCTTGTGATCTGCCCACCTCAGTCAGCCTCCCAAAGTGCTGGAATTACAGGTGTGAACCACCACACCCAGCTGCCCATGCATTTTTAGGCCATCTTCAAAAGGCTAAGGCTTGTCTCCCATTCAGTTCATTTTCTTACTCCTGGCTTGAGAATTTCACTGAAGTGTGAGATAGCTGGCCAGAACACAACTTGTTTGCCAAAGATGAAATCCATTATGCCCTTCTAGAGCAGATGGTGAGCCTAGGTCCCAATAGAGACCTACTGAGCTCAATGGCAGTGCTACAACTTCATTTTCCCTTGCCAGGGGAGCTAGAAAAAGGACACGCTCAATTGGATCAATAGCAAAGTTTACTATACTGAGCCAGTAATTACTCCTGCAGTGAGAACCCTCTGCTATTTTCATTAAACCATGAAGCTGAATGGAATGAATTTAAATATAGCAATTCGGCCGGGCGCGGTGGCTCAAGCCTGTAATCCCAGCACTTTGGGAGGCCGAGGCGGGTGGATCACAAGGTCAAGAGATCGAGACCATCTTGGTCAACATGGTGAAACCCCGTCTCTACTAAAAATACAAAAAAAATAGCTGGGCATGGTGGTGCGTGCCTGTAATCCCAGCTACTCAGGAGGCTGAGGCAGGAGAATTGCCTGAACCCAGGAGGCGGAGGTTGCGGTGAGCCGAGATCGCGCCATTGCACTCCAGCCTGGGTAACAAGAGCGAAACTCCGTCTCAAAAAAAAAAAAAAAAAAAAAAATAAATAAATATAGCAATTCACATTAAAACCAAGCATATACAACCGAATCGTCTCTAACCTGAATTTTAACATGTCATTTACCATACATATCATGGAGGACAAAACAAGCAGACTTAAGTTAAATAGTTTATTTAAAAAAAAAAAAAAAAAAACCCATTTACAAAATGGAATTTGAGCTGCAGAACAACTCATGTTAACTGCATGGCAGTGATACTGACGTACAGTGGCTCAGATAAAGGTCTTCACAAGGACGTTCCTGCAAAAGGCAAAAGAAGTTATGAAGTATTTACATAAGCGGAGGTGAATGACTACACAGTAACTACTAGGAATACCTGGTTGTGCTAGTAACTATTTTTGCAATTGGAAGAGATTATGAAATATTTTGGTTTGAGGCACAGCTTTTCATTCTCCCTTTTTACTATTGGGAAGGCAGGGCATTCTTCTGCTGACCACGAATTGGTGAAAACTTACCTTTCTGCCATGAACTTGGACAGATGAGTTTCTGTTTTTAAGAGCTGATAAGACTAGTAGCAGACTCCTCCCCTAGAAAAGTAAACAACCTTTAGAACTAGCTCTAAGACCAAGTCCCAGCTCAAGCTAAACCCCCCATACCTCCCATTAATAGCCCACCCATCCTCCCACCATTTGGGGAAGAGTCTATTACTTTGAGCCATTATTTTAAGGAAATGGGTCAAAGGAAGATAAATAAAAGGGCAAAAATTTATATTCACAGTAGAAATAATGTGCTCACTTCCTTCAACTGGGAGCCACCAATGGTAGGGTGTGAATTTAAGACAATTCATCTCCAGAAAAACCTAGTTCAGCTTAACTGGACTAGTTTTGGCTCAATATATTAAGGAAAATTAACAGAAAACTGGACTTTAAGTAACTATATGGATGTAAGTAAAATCTGTTCTTACCTACCAGCATAGCAATAAAACCTTTCCTCCTGGTTCTGACTGCTAGTCCTAAGAGTCAGGTGTGCCTTACTCTCGTCTGCCTCCTTCCTTGCGATGATCACTGAAATTTCACTCCCTCCTAGCTTTCATGGAGCGTGCCGTGGCCTGCCCCTGGCTTATCTGTACTCCACATACCACAAGTGTCTACTCTCAGCTGTAGAGTGTCTGAGCTCGGAGCCATTCGCGCTATACTTGCTAGCAGTTCCTAGTAGCTGAACATCTCTCCTGGATCTTTAAAGGCATTGTCACGAATCCTGAGGTATCTGCAAACTCCCTCAATAGTTAGGGTTCCACCTGCTATTGCAAACTCAGCCAGTATCACGGAACTATCACCCATGCTTTCCCACCCACCACCACCTCCCACCCACCTCCCTCCACCCTCCTCCCCAAAATTTCCAACACACCCATGGGATGGAATATACAGTCCTATTGATAAACAAATCTCTATGCTACTAGATACAATAGCACTGAAATTTGAGAGCACTGAAGGCTCAAAATAATCTATGTACAAATAACACATTATTGGATATTAACTGTTAAGGTTGAGAAATCATTTTCTATACAATTAACATTTTAGGAAGGTTGTGTCATCTTGTGCCATATAAAGGGAAACTGCAGTTAACATTAAATTATGTAGGAATATTTAGTTTCTGTTGCTATGGCTTTAATCTTCAAATTAGCATAGTTGACTTACAAAACCTCTGAAGGCCCACCCAACCAGAACCCAGTCAAACTGCAGTTTTCCTTTAATGTAAGCCTATCTTTATGTTCATTGAAATGATTTCTGATATTGGTCATTTTAAAAAGGCCTCCCAAACACTTCAAATCTGGATTTACGGAGCGGCATTAGCCAGCAGCTAGTTTCTATTCCCTGGCAGAGCTTTGAACTTGAATTACGATAGAGGCATTCAACATTATCAGGGGCAGTGGGTAGGGAAAAGTCCAAATCTCTGCCAGTCCCAAATCCATACAGTTGTCATTTCATTCAAGAGAATTAAATCGTTTATTGATTACACATGATAATGGATGATACACAAGCTTCATTCCCATCTATAATTTTTATCTGGTACCATTATTCAATTTAGATATATTGCATAGGATGTGCCAACAATCATCTTTATAACCAATAATTCCATGATTTTGCTTGGGTAATCCCTTTTAATCGTGAACTTCAGGTCACAACAGTAACTATTAGTTCAACTACACCAAGGTTTCTGAAGACAATGGCTTCTCCACCCAAGCAGGTTGTATATAAATTCCAAATAGAAGCTGGCATCACCCTGAAGGAATTCTAACTTCACACTGTTGGGGAAATTTACCAAGATGGCTTCAGAGTAGACTAACTTTACACAGCACATTAAAAAAAAAGACATTTATTCAGCGTCACGATCAGACTATTACATTTAGCAATCAACAGCATGGATGCAAAAAAAAAAAAGAAAAAAAGATAAAGAAAAAGAAAAAAATCTACATTAAAACCCTTTGTTGGAATGCTTTACACTTTCCACAGAACAGAAACTAAAATAACCTGTTATACAATTAGTCACAAATACAGTCCTCGAGTTTTTTGCCCATACACATGAGTATTTGTCTAAATCATGTCTTCTTTGTAGCAGCTAGGCCCTGCCACCACTGTGCTTGGCTGAGTTCACAAATCTGTTGTAACCTGTAGCTTCCCTGTCACTTCTCTGGCTCTCCTCTCCTGCTAAGCTTTGTTTCCTGTTGAACAATATGGAATAAAGTTGTTAATCTAAACATATTAAGACTCAAGGCTACAATCCAATATCAAGTTTGTTTCCCACAAATTTTGCTGATCTGAATATTAACTTTATATCCACAATTTACTGCAATTATAATGTTAACTATGTTGCACTGCTCAGCTACATTAGGGTTATTGGGTTCATCAGCAATTTAAAAAATTATGTTAACACACAAAAAGGTGCTTACTTACCTAATTAAAATCTTCTGCCACTGCCATAGCTACTGCTGCTACTGGAACCGCCATAGCCACCTAAGGAGTGCAATTTTTCTTTTAAGTTTCAAAGTGCTAACAGTAATGTTTTCATTCACTGTAAATAAATTCGAGTGTTTTGACAATTTAAAAATGGCCCCTGCTACAAGAGAGGCAGTAAAGGTGCCGTGATTTTTCTAATGTCATCAAATTATCACTTTCTGAAGGTTGGAAACTGTCAAATCTATTACTGCACAGACACCAGTTAAAGGGCTTCCTTCCCAGCAGTAGCTACAGATAGACAATTCGTTTGATATTATCCCAAATTACATAGATACCATACCTTGGTTTCGTGGTTTGGCAAAGTATTGGCCGCCACCACCATAGGGGCCAGAGCTTCTGCCTCCAAAGTTTCCTCCCTTCATGGGTCCAAAATTTGAAGACTGATTGTTGTAACTGCCAAAATCATTGTAGCTTCCACCACCTCCAAAATTGCCTCCTAGGAATGGGAAAGAGGGCCTTTGTCTGTTACTTGAGGATGATGCTAGTTTCCAATTCTGTTTAGCGGTCGGAATAAAAATAAATTTGGGTTATCTGCCTTTCTTCCTCCCAAACTATGGTGACTCCATCTTTACATTTCATTCTCTGGGAAAGGCATTCAGTTGAATAATCCAGTAATAAGAAAACTAGCCCAACTCTCCATGACATAAAAAGACATTTCCACAGTGGCACAAGCACACCCTCCAGCCTTGAAGGCCCTCATGGAGATCTAGGGCCACAGGCAATCAGAAGTTTCTTGGATACATCAACTAAGCGCCTAAGGTCCCAAAGCAGTTAAGATACTAAATCCTTCTATGACACTAATCTAACTCAAAGACACCATTATCCACTTAACTCTACTAATTGGGAGTGAGGCGGCCCCAGCTTAAAGCTAGGAGGAGGTAGCATAGCAAGCCCGTTTTTAATATACCATGCAGTGTTATTACACAATGCTTCAACAGCACCAGAACCCAAGCTCTAAAAGGCTAATCTAGCTGTCACACCAAGTACTTGGATCACTGGATACCTACCACTACCACCGCCAAAGCCGCCTCCGCCTCCGTTGTTATAGCTGTCATAGCTGCCACTCCCGCCATAGCCACTGCCCTGGTTTCCATAACCCTGTCCACCACTTCCATAGCCTCTGCTTCCTCCAGAGTAACCAGGGCCGCCTCCTCCATAACCACCTACAAGAATACAATTCTTCTCAATAAGACAAAAGTATTTGACAATGAAAACGTGTGCAAGTGTAATGGCTGAAGGCCTGCTCACAGCATGCGTGTTATGGGAAAAGTTGCGCTTTGTCATGCACTAGAATTTTAGTCTCTACTAACCTATTCTAAAGATACACGTTGCCAGGAATTTTTATCTACTTATTCCTAAAAAACTTACCATCATTACCAAATCCGTTATAGCCATCCCCACTGCCACCATATCCACCACCACCACGGCTGCCACCAAAGCCACCTGGAAGAAAACAAAGGTTCAAGTTTTAAGCATGATCTGCACATCAAGTGACATTTCTGGATGCACTTCCCGTACTGTAAAATCTGCATAGCAAAGATGGTAAGAAGTAAGAACTACATGTAAATAAACCATACATACCACGACCACTGAAGTTTCCTCCACGACCAAAGTTGTCATTCCCACCGAAACCACCTCCACGACCACCACCAAAGTTTCCAGAACCACTTCGACCTAAAAAGATAATAAGCGCTAAATTAGTCACACTGAAGGTAAACAAAAGCTGCCTTTAAGGTTTAATGAAGCATAAGCATACCTCTTTGGCTGGATGAAGCACTAGCCATCTCTTGCTTTGACAGAGCTTTCCTAACTTCACAGTTGTGTCCATTCACAGTATGGTATTTCTGAACTAAAAAAGAAAAAAGAAAAAAAATGAAAATAGATACAACATGGTCTCAGGGTCTAGAATGCCACATAGATTGTGGAACCCTTACTAAATACCACTATTTGATACTTACTGACAATCTTATCCACGGAGTCATGGTCATCAAAGGTTACAAAGGCAAAGCCCCTTTTCTTGCCACTGCCTCTGTCAGTCATGATTTCAATCACTTCAATTTTTCCATACTGTTCAAAATAATCTCTTAGGTGATGTTCTTCAGTGTCTTCTTTAATGCCACCAACGAATATTTTTTTCACAGTTAAGTGGGCACCTGGTCTTTGAGAATCCTAATAGGAGGGAAACCACACGTTTGGATTCGCAAAACCTACACCCAAATAAAAATTTAGGTAGAAAACTCCTGAATCCAAATCCACTAGCAGGACATCGCCAAATGAGTTGAAGGGAAGGGTAAAAAAACCACTCACTTCTCTTGAGACAGCTCTCTTTGGTTCCACAACTCTTCCATCCACTTTGTGTGGCCTTGCATTCATGGCTGCATCCACCTCCTCCACAGTTGCATACGTGACGAACCCAAAGCCCCTGGAGCGCTTGGTGTTTGGATCTCTCATTACCTGACAACAGTGTTAATTCATGTAACAAAGTCTGACCCCAAAAGTTTTTGTCATTTTAACTCTGAATAGGGGAAGAGGAGACTATACCAGTCCTTTATAAAAAACCCCTCCAGTTTCCCACTATCCTAGGTTTAAGAAATAACCCTTAAAAATCAAACAGAACTTTCCTTTGTCAACAAAGCTTTAACTATGATGCTACTAACAACCTTCATAAGCATTTAGAGAGAACTGCACCAAGATAAACCAAGGAAATCCACTATTTTACTGTTTGTTCCCTTCCAATTCTTACCACACAGTCTGTGAGCGTTCCCCATTGCTCAAAATGGCTCCTCAGGCTCTCATCGGTTGTTTCAAAGCTCAACCCTCCAATGAAGAGCTTCCTCAGCTGCTCCGGCTCTTTAGGAGACTAGAGTGGGGGGAAGCGGGAAATGTTAAATGAGCTGCAACACCAAACAATTTCCATCGAAGAAAAGAAAAACAGGACAACTGTGTACGTAGCACTTATCGTTAGTTCAGATTGCAACAAGCCATGTGCTTCTCCCTAACAGGGGAGAAGGGATGTTGGGGGTTGGGAGTGCTGGGAAATCCAAAGCGCATGCGTCCCTAGTCGCCTTCCGACGCACGCGCAACAAAGGCTTAGGCGGGAGGGGTGCATCGCCAAAATTGGACTAATCGCTCTTTTAAAAACTAGCTCACCAAAGCAAGGTTTAGGAAAGATAAAGATTTATGTGCCTAAGAATTTTGCTAAGACTACCGAGTCCTGCATAATAACTCATGATTGGCGCGAGCGGCCTCATGGCGATCAACAGGACAAAATGGCGACTTGAACTTTGGGAGGGGTAGGCCGTGGTAGCGACCGAAAGAACTGTAGAATGGGCTGGTGCAAGGAACGAAACCAAGCCCCATCTTACCAATTCACGAAAGGAAGAGGAAGAAATTCAAGTTGGAAAGAGCGCCTAACTCACCTCTGACTTAGACATGATCGCAGGGAGAAGAGAGACTTTAACGATGCTTCTTCGGCGGCGTCCACGGGCAGAAAGGAGCAAGCTGACGAACGTATCTGCCAGCTACCTTCGGCCTTTCTTTTTAACCCCGCCTCCACCCTTTCGGCATTGGTACACTCCGCCCTTGGATAGTTCTGATTGGATATGTGAAATCGCTTCCCCCTACTATTGGCCTGTGGTGCCACACTGCTGTGTAACGTCATCCTTTTGGGCGTTCTACGCCGTCTCCACCCCTTGGAGTTGATTGGTTCCCGAGTAATATTATTCTTAACCAGTCTGATTGGCCAGCCGATCAATCATTCATATTTGAATCTACCTTGGGTGTTTTACGCTTTTTTAATCTTCCTCGCGCAAATATTACGCTTGGCAAAGCATGATTAACACATGTGTTAGAAAAGCAGTTAGCCAGCAGGTCAAAATTTTGACTGCTTGTTGAGCGCACGTGTAGTAAAATGGCGAGTTTTGCGCAGGCGCGTTAAGAACTTCCAGCTGCCTCTGGGAACACGTGAAATGGCGGGCAGGGCTAGGCAGTGACCCTACAGCGCCTGCGTATTGGCGGGAGTTGGTTCCAGCTTTGCGCTTGCGTGGTGGGCGGAGAAAGGGTCCGTCCGCGGATTGGTTGCGCAGGCGCAGAGAAGGATCCGTTTTGGCGGGCGGTTGGCGTTGCGCAGAAGGTGGCGGCGGTGGTGGCTTGCGTTGCGGCCTCACCATACAGGAACAGGGCAGACGTTAGCGTGAGTGATCACTCTCAGTCCCGGGTAAGTGGCAGACAGTCTTCTCTACCCATAATAGGTCTTGAACTGACTCCATTTGGGCCCGTTATTGTGTGAAATGAATGGACCGCGGGGTGGGGGATAGTGAAGGGGCAGCGGTGGGTCGGGCCAACCAATAGAAGAACAGGGGGCGGGATTTTTAATCCCTGTAGGTTCTTTGGAGCGGTGCAGGCAAGACTTTGACTGGCTTGCGTATAGGCCAATTGGGTCTGCCTTGAGCTGCCGACTGATGGGCCCTTGGGCCATCGGAATGTGGGAGACGGGTTTCCCCTCCTGAGCTGCGTCTCACTGAGCCAGTGAGCGCGAGGCGCGCGGTAGGTTGGGCTTCTGCAGGAGGCAGCGGTTTGACTCCAATGGGGAATGCGGGAGTCGGGCGGTTAAACTGATGGACCGAATCTGGAGCCAGTAGACGGACAGCCTAAGGAAAGTGCTCGGACCAGTCGTCCAATCGGCTCTCCAAAAGAGGGAGGTCTTCAATTTGGGGCTGTGAGAAAGGGGAGTCGGTGCTTGTAATGGCGTGTGAGGGTGAATGTCTTATCCACAATGACTTCTCTAACGAAGCCTTTAGGCCTCAGTCCCATAAACCTCCTTGAAAGCGTAAGTTTGCTCCTGTCTGCCTCGATTTGGCATTTTTTCCCCCCACCTCCTAACCACTTGAGGTTTGGAGAACAGGGGAGGGTTTTGTTGTTGTTGTTAAATAATACTTTGAGAAGTCGCTTCTTTAGGAAGACTGTTAAAATGTTAGAACGAATAGGAAAAATCTCAATATACTGTCATGGAAAGGCGTTCGAGAAATATTTCCTTCCTAATAGTGCAGATTTCTGAACAAATATGTTGTAGGTCCATAAAAAAGTTTCGGAAAGCTACACACTAAAGTGCCAATGCTAGGGACACAGTAGGATCGAGGCAAGTTGGATCTTTAACGTTTAAAACTTTGCAGAGTTAATGATTTGTGATTAAAATTAAATAAAAAATGAAGTCAGTTGTTTTGTGTTTCTAGTCATAATCACATACTTAACCACCCCTTTTCCGTTTTATGCAATCCATGTGCCCAGTGCTTTTATTTTAGTCTCTTTCTCCCGGGAACTTTCCCGCTCATATGTTTCCCCTTTCTTTACACCATTAAAGATATCCTAAAGCCCCTCTTTTTGCTGTTCCTTTGAGAATATCTGGCTTCGAAATAAAAAGGAAACTGCCTAAAGAAGGTAATATTTAGGGTTCTAGGGAAAAGAAGACTCATCCATCACCTGGATTATTCCTTGCCTTTTTATTAGATTTCCTTCCAAGTGTATTTTGCATGCAGTCTATCTCCTTTTGGTAATACCCACCTTGCTTATTCCAGGATCTTTTGGAGAAATAAATAAATTTTCATAACATTGGCTGTATCAGAGTCTTACTGTTTTATTCACTGATTTATTCAGGATCAAGGGAAAATACTTAAATGCTGAAAATCAGCTACCTATGAAGTACACTTATGATTAGAGACCTTTCTGACTTTACCAAAGACAAACAATTTTAGTGAAGTTTATGAACACTGGAGAGATTTCCATGTTCTCTGGCACTAGCAAAATGACATATTTATAATTTATATCTGGCTTTAAACCTATTTGTAGGTATGCTAGTAATGGAGTTACTGAGCTGAGAACTAACTAAAGTGATACAGGTTAAGGGTATCTGTCCTGGATTATTTAGGTTTGAAAGTAATACAACCTTGACTTACAGCAAGGTTTCTCAGTCTTAGCACAGTTGATATTTTGAGGCAGACAGTTATTTGTTGAGGAGGTTCAGGGTGTCCTGTGCATAGTGAAATATTTAGCAGCATCCCTGGCCTCTACCCACTGTATTCTAGTAGCATCGCCCCTCTCGCCACATCCCCATTTGTGACGATCAGAATGTCTCCAGACATTGCCAAATGTCCGGGGAGGTAGGGGTGAGGGTAAAATCTCCCTCAGTTGAAAACCATTGATCTAACATACTGGAGTATGCTGGGCATAGTTTCGTGTTCCTGTACTTCCAGCTACTCTGGAAGCTGACGCTGAGGCAGGAGGCCTGAGCTCAGGAAGTCAAGGCTGCAGTGTGAGACGATTATGCCTGTGAATAGCCGCTACACTCCAGTCTGGGCAGTACAGCAACATCCTATTGCTAAAACATAAAAATAAAATGCTAAAGTTTATTATCTTTTCAAAATCCATTATTTTAGCAATTGGAAAGTAGGTAAAGGGGGAGAAGATGGTTGAAGTGTTTTTTGTTTTTTTTTTTTTTTTGAGACGGAGTTTCGCTCTTGTTACCCAGGCTGGAGTGCAATGGCGCGATCTCGGCTCACCGCAACCTCCGCCTCCTGGGTTCAGGCAATTCTCCTTCCTCAGCTTCCTGGGTAGCTGGGATTACAGGCACGCGCCACCATGCGCAGCTAATTTTTTGCAATTTTAGTAGAGACAGGGTTTCACCATGTTGACCAGGATGGTCTCGAGCTCTTGACCTCGTGATCCACCCACCTCGGCCTCCCAAAGTGCTGGGATTACAGGCTTGAGCCACCGCGCCCGGCCTTGAAGTTTTTTTTTTTTGCTTTTTTTTTAAGACCAAGTTTTGCTCTTGTTGCCCAGGCTGCAGTGCAATGTCATGATCTCAGCTCACTGCAAACTCCACCTCACAGGTTCAAGTGATTCTCCTGCCTCAGCCTCCCGAGTAGCTGGGATTACAGGCATGCACTACCACACCTGGCTAATTTTGTATTTTTAATAGAGATGGGGTTTCTCCATGTTGGTCAGGCTGGTTTCAAACTCCTGACCTCAGGTGGTCCCCTCAACTCAGCCTCCCAAAGTTCTGGGATTATAGATATGAACCACCACGCCCTGTGGATGGTTGAAGTGTTTAGGGAGTGGCCTTTGGTAAATGGATGACTAAATCCTGATGTACTAAATCTCCTTAGTACATAGAATTGATAAAAGGAAAATTTCTTTAAAATTTTTACCACTTCTTGGCATATCTCCAGTGGCTCACGTCTGTAATCCTGCCACTTTGGGAGGCTGAGGTGGGTGGATCATTTGAGGCCAGGAGTTTGAGACCAGCCTGGCCAAATGCTGAAACCTATCTCTACTAAAAATGTACAAATTAGGCTTGGTGGTGAGTGCCTGTGATCCCAGCTACTCGGGAGGCTGAGGCAGGAGAATGGCTTGAACCTGGGAGGCAGAGGTTGCAGTGAGCCGAGATGGTGCCACTGCATTCCAGCCTGGGTGACAGAGTGAGACCTTGTCTTAAAAAAAATAAAAGTTTTTACCACTTCTTGCAACTTAAACATACGATTGATTGTATCTTGTGCTGCTTTGGCTTCCTAAAATAATGGCAAATGTGTTTTTTAAGAAGGTAGACTTTGCCTCACGTGCTGCTTTTTCCCTTGATTCTAGCCTCTTTCCTGGTATTCTGTTGGATCCATGTCCCAAGACTTTTTGACCTCAATAAGAAATATATTTTACACTAACCCTATATACATATTGAACCAGATTTCACTAAACGAACATGCAGAGTACTCTGATATTTTCTTGTCTGCATTGTGCTATTTCATTGTCTCAAGAAAGGAGATCAATTTACACTGAACTGATTTCACAGCTGTTTATAGACCCGAGGTTTTGGGGGGATAAAAATACTTCTGATCTGAACAATAGGTCACCAAATCATGCCACCTTTGATTACTCTCTGAGTCAGTTCCTTCCATCTCCAGCCCCAGCCTCTTGTAGATGGTCTTTGACTTGTGATATTTCTTTTTTTTTTTTTTTTTTTTTTTTTTTTTTTTTTTTTTTTTGAGACGGAGTTTCGCTCTTGTTACCCAGGCTGGAGTGCAATGGCGCGATCTCGGCTCACCGCAACCTCCGCCTCCTGGGTTCAGGCAGTTCTCCTGCCTCAGCCTCCTGAGTAGCTGGGATTACAGGCACGCGCCACCACGCCCAGCTAATTTTTTGTATTTTTAGTAGAGACGGGTTTCGCCATGTTGACCAGGATGGTCTCGATCTCTTGACCTCGTGATCCACCCGCCTCGGCCTCCCAAAGTGCTGGGATTACAGGCTTGAGCCACCGCGCCCGGCCTTGACTTGTGATATTTCAACTTAAGATTGTTCACCTTTACAATGACGTAGAAAGCAATTTCCATTCAGTAGAAACTGTACTTCAAGTATCCACATCACTATTCTGTTTTTCACTTTTGGTACAGTAATAAACCAATTACATGAGATATTCAACACTTTATTGTAAAATAGGCTTTGTGTTAGGTGATTCTGTTCAACTGTAGGTTAATGTAAGTATTCTGAACACATTTAAGGTAGGCTAGGCTAAACTATGATGTTTAGTAGATTAGGTGTAGGAAATGGATTTTCTATTTTTAATATTTTCAGCCTACAATGGTTTTGGACATAACCCCATCATAAATCAAGGAGTATCTATGTAAACAGATTAAGCAGTAACCATTTATTTGGTGTTTTTACTCCTGTGTTTTACTTTGAAAGATTATAGGAGCTAAACTGAGACTTTCTAAGTTTACTGTGGTATGCAAGTAAAAATTGCTTGTTTTATTGTGAAGTCTCTCAATGCTTAAAGAGGGAAAACAATAAAAATATTGTGAAGAAGTCCCTCCCAACATGATAGTGTTTTGTTTTGTTTTGTTTTGTTTGTTTTGAGATGGAGTTTCTTTCCCTCTTGTTGCCCAGCCTGGAGTGCAATGGTGTGCATGATCTCAGCTCACCACAACCTCCACTTCCTGAGTTCAAGCAATTCTCCTGCCTCAGCCTACCAAGTAGCTGGGATTACAGGCAGGCACCACCATGCCTGGCTAATTTTATATTTTTGGTAGTGATGGGGTTTCCCCATGTTGGTAAGGCTGGTCTCAAACTCCTGACCTCAAGTGATCTGCCTGCCTCGGCCTCCCAGAGTGCTGGGCGTGAGCCACTGTGCCCAGCCTCCAATGTGATAGTTAATAGATACGATGGAATTTTCTC